ATTTGGCTATATCTCTTATAACTCATCCTCATAAACTTGTAGATGGACGTAAGTGTGCGCCGCTAAATTGTTTTAATAAAGAACAAAATATTATTTTGAATTTAAAATTTTAAATTAAAAAAAATCGATACAAAATAAAATTTTGAACCCGATACAAATTCACCGTGAAACTATGAAAAGCATTAAGTTTTTTTAATAAACAGCATTTTACAGCGTAACATAAATATTGTAAATATAAATCACACATTTTATCGAGAAATTTGGAGAAAAAATTTTTCAACATATTTTATTAACACGACTGTGAACATCATTATATTTGTGCAATGTATCGTTAATTCGAAAGCTTGTTACCGCTAATTTGCAGTCATCGTGATGCGATAAAATATTCAATTTAATAAAACGAACAAATATAATTAAACCACATGAGTAATTCAAAATTCATGATCGACAGAGATTCAGAGAGAAAAAGAGAGAGAGAGAGAGAGAGAGAGAGAGAGAGAAAGAGAGAGATATTCAAGGTGACATTATAAATTGCGCGTCATTAATATATCAACTAGAAGAATAATGTAACGTCACGGATTGCGCATTTGCATAACCTGTAATTTATCTTTTATAATCTTCTGGTTTTTGGGGGAGGACGATAGTCGGTGTAAAATGGAAGTGTAAATATACATTTCATTATGAAAAAAAGCCGCAACTAGCTAATTCCGTCTCTCCTACCTCATAACGGATCAGCGACTGAAACGTGACATACGTGAGGTCGACGGCGGATTGAGAACCACCTGCGGATCTGTCTGATTCCACACCACCCTGCCGCCCGACCACCGGCACCCTCTTGCAGCCGCTTGCAAACCTCCCGCGAGCCCTCCGCCCCTCGGCAAAACGTTTCCATTCCCCGCTGGCGTGCCTCCTTCCAAGGAGGAAGGTCTAACCACACTCAACGCGGAGACACGTACAGACACACGGACGCGATACACAGCTGCTTACCGCCATGCAAAAGGGAACGGTGACTGTGTATTGCAGATCTGTAATACTCCTACCCCTTCTGAGAGAATAGCGGGCGAACCTCGGTTGCTACCTCTTTCACCCCCTCGCGCCGCCGTTCGAACCGCCGCCGTCGTTGCCGACGCCGCCTTTCCGCCCTCGTCCCCCTCTGACGAAGCCAAGTTCCTGGTCAATAACCTCGGCGGCGTGTACGCGACATAATCGTCAACGTTCGCGATCGGGATAAGTATGTCGTTCGGAAACCACCCTTCCCGCGCCGCGGGACTTCCTCCGTCGCTCCACGTGGCGTCAGACTCGCGGTGCGCGATAATGCGCTCCGATTTGCGTCACCGCACGACCGACGTCGACCGGAGGTGTAATATTTTATTTTCCCGGGTTTTCTTTTCCCGGGGATTGCGGGGGACGCCCGGTGAGTTCAACACCTGGAGACACGCGGTGAAAATATGTATCTTATGTGCGCTGCCGATTGAATAAACATGACGATTATTTTTAGCCTGTTTAGCATCGGAATGGACTTGTGAAATATTACAAAACGGATTTAGAAAGTATCACCATTTTCAAGCCCCCGTATTTTTACCGCGTGACGCGTACACTAAGGACCTTTCCTCAAAACTTAGTAATATCGTGCTACACGAGAAGATAATAAAAACGCCTTGCCGCAAAGTGAGCTTTCAGAAGTTTGCGCTGTACATCCAGAAAGTTTCCCTTATTTATGTCTGTCTCTTATTAATTATTATGGAATGTAAGTACGAAGTTAATACGAAGTTGCTACGAGTTAGCTCGTAGCAAAGTGTTGGGAAGGATTTCATACAAGATGAATACTTCTTATTTTTATTCCAAAGTACAGCGCGTTTTCTTGAAACAGTTAAAAAAAAATATTTCGGAATCACTATTGCGATTTCCGTGTTTAACATTGCACTCAAAATCCGCACAAATATAATTAATTAAAAACATGAACATTAATTTAACAAATGTACATTTAATTGCTGAACGCTCGAGGTGAAAAATATACATTTGTTTATAGTATTTGTGGAAAATGCAATTTTTTAAGTGGACGGTACACGACAAATTCGAGGGTTTCGAACCGCGAGGCTGCAGGGTGATGCCATCTGTGGCACTTGGCGCGAAACTCGTCTTAAAAATCATCCCCCTGAGATCAATACGCCGTAGGGGTAGACAGCGGGTCTGCAAAATACAACGTAGCGCTCCAGGAATCCAACGTGCTTAATCTTCCGCACAATCGGAGGCGTGCAAAACGGGAGGGTAATATCGTTTACCTTCATTATTTATTAAATTAAACATGCTTGAGCCGAAGCCTTCGAGCGATCGCTGGCTCCAACTTTATATGAAATCTGCTTGAAAATTATTATCGCGTCATAAACTGTATGCTCGCGAAGAAAGCCCCGACGTTTCATTGGCCCTCCAGAGATTAAAAAGTTGCAGGCGCGCAATAGGCTGTCAGCGTGTCAGGTTTTAGTACGTCGCACGTGTATTATATAGAAGCGACGCGATTTATCGGGAGCGAGCACAGTTGGGCCAACCGTGGAGGCCAGTACGTCGTAAAGTCGCGTATCTTGGCTTTCCCGGATATTAGATATTTAGCGCAAAGTCTATCGAAATCTGATCAGCCGATTTGGGGCACACGTACGAGGAACATTTTCCAAAGTGCGGCGAGCTTATACGGCGAACAAATAACAAACTAGTGAGTCGCTCGTTGACGACTGCCGATGCTATGTGTATATGATCAATTATAGCGCAGTCTCAAATAATAGTATAGTCAAATAGAAAAGAAAAACCCTATTGTTTGCGCTCGAATTAGAACACCCGGCTGTCCTCATAAATATTAATTAACGTTAGTCACGATTTCACCAATTCCCTATCTCTGTCCGAAAATAGATTTGGCACCAGACGGACAATTGATTAAATCTCCATTAACTTTAATTTAAATTTATGGGAGTGCATCATACGAACAGTGAACGCGGCCGTGCAAATTTTCATCGTTATATGCGAATCCTTAAGATTTTAATTGCGAAAACAGATTAAGTGTAAAGATAGAAGTGGTTGCGCAATCAACGGGAATCGATTAAGAGTCGCTTTTGAAGCGTATGCTAATTTTTGCGACGCCTTGCGGATGTTACCATTAATCATTTCTGCCGCTTTTTGTCCTCTTTCTAAAAAACCAGCCAAATGGATTATGAAGAAAAAAATTATATTTAGACGATCGCATTATCCGATCTACGCGGCAGAAGCCGTAAAAAAACGATGGTCGATCGAACGAACGACCCGGCGAAGACCCGTGTGTATTCGGGTCAGGCGTTCGGCTTAACAACGAGGAGGTTTCGCAAAGGTTTCCGCGCGAGTGTCTCCTTTGCGGCTTCTAATGAGATAATTCGATTTCCGCGATGCCGCATTAAATCCATATTCGGCGATGTTGCGCGCGCGCTCGTTCGCCCGTCGGTGCCTCGCCTCTCTCTTTCCAAGCTTCCTCGGCTAAAAACGCCTCGCCAAAGACGCAGCCTTTCACCGGACGAACAACATTCACGCAAATCACATCGCTGCCGATCTCCGCCATTAACGCCGATCCACGATTGCGCTTCCGATAGATTTCGTAAAGCGATTGTCGTCACGCTTTCGCCCACGGCAAAAATTCCGCGCGCGGCAAAAGTAGGGCGGTACACGCTTCGATCGTGCCTCGTTCCTCTTGATTTGCCAGCACCGCCAGAGCAAACTTTGCGGAATTAATTAGCGACTGATGCGCGAAAATCAAAATATCTCCCTTACCGCGACGCGTCACGACTTCGATAATAAATACAAGTTCTTCCGCGAAGACTCAACGAGGAGGTGCTACAACGAATCTTGTTTAAGAAGGGCTGGCGCGAAGTCGGCGGCCATTGCTCCGGCACGAGGCAGCTTTTGTGCTTTTTGTTCGGCCGGCCCTTTCATCGCGCCATCCCTTCACGCGCACAAAAGAACTCGAGTAAATACGAAAAACGTCGCGCGGGCACGTCTCGTCGTCGTCCTTGCTTTCGAATCCGAAAAATCTCTTATCGGCGACGATGTCGGATGCTTTAAGGGTCGGAAGAACGGTTGACACGATCGCGAGATAAACGAGACCATCAGTTGACAAACCTATATTCAATTAAAAAAAAAAAGAAAAAGAAAAAGAAAATATGTTACAATTTATAACAGTGCTCAGCGATCAGCTATCATCCGATTATCGGCGTGCGCAATATTGTTCGACGACGCAGCGATTTAGTGTCGCGCAAAGGACAGAGACAGTCGCGATTCTTCCTCGTTCGCGAGCGAGTTCGCCGAGCGATTAATGTCGCTGAGGTCATAATGGCCCTCGTAACTATTGTCGCCATTGGCGCACGTGAAACGCGGCTCGGTTTAATATTGACAGTCGCGACAACGAGAAAGTTCATAGCCCGGAGGGTAGACGGTTTGTCAGAGAGGGATGGGGGATACACGGAGAGTAAGCGGCTTATTGCGAACGACGTCGCCGGGATTTTCGGTAACGACACTGCGCGGCTCTGTCACGTCGACTTTTCGGACGATAATGCGCCATCGTCTTCGCTCTTTTCCGTCTTTCATTAAGAGCCTTGCGTCACGTCGCGATGGTACGTGAGATACGCTTCGCGGAAATTTGACGTATTTCCGAGATAAGTGAATATTAATACAACGGACGTCAATCGATACTCTCGAGGAATTGTCAAACAGGCGGTGATTTAAAAAAATGCACATTCGAATTGATCGATCTTAATTGGTTTGACGAGATTATTCCATTTTGCTTTTTTTTTTTTTTTTTTTATTTTTATAGCACTCGGCATACCAGCGTCAATTTATTAAATATTTGTTTTCAGGAAAATAATACACACAAAGCTACGTCAAATAATAAAATTGAATTTAATTAATGTTTCTAAAAATATGCGATGTATCAAAAATACGCAATGTATTGCTGAAAATCATTATCTCTGCTCCTGTATTTGTTTTAGTTCATAACGTTCGCGAAAGTCGATCCAGCGATACATCTGGACAATCGCTACAGGCTAATGAGAAACGAACCGATGTTAGACGCCGACGGTAAGGAAACCGATCGGATTGGAGACGACTGTTAATCGAGAGAGAAACAAGCATCGATAAAATCGGGGGAAGAGAAAAAAGTAACAAACTTAAAAATGTGTTTTAATTATTGCATATTGTAACAATAATGGCACTCGGCGATGATAATTGATGACGGGGAGAGAAATTCGTTAAGTCAATAAATAAAGCGAGATTTAACACACATTGAGATGTCATTCATTCTGCGCACATCGAATATTATTTGTGGAAGACGTCAATCGAACGCGGTATCATGCGAGTCGTCTCTTTGACTACCGGGTTTGTTTATGAATCGATCCGTCCCTACCCCTCCGCGCCTCGCCGTGCCGCTCGATGAAGATACGATGCAAAAATACTGCATACCACTTCCAGGATGTTACGGATTTTAGCGGCCACTCGCGTTTAATCCGATAAAGTGCGCTTCGTGAATAACTGCACGAAAATACCGCATACAGCGGTATGATATTTATATTCTTGCTTAAACTGACATATTTACCGTGTGTAACGTGATTTTTGTCTCGTATTTAGCTGCCCGATTTACACGGATACTCTCGTGCACAGATGCGCGGGCATATATTTATCGTGTTCCGTTCTGAGCGCATTATATTTTAATCAAAATTCTTCCGCAATTTGCAAAATTAATTCTTTTGAACGATAAAACGGAAAGTTAACAATTTAGTGAAACATTTGCCATCCATAAAAAAAAAAGCTCCATAATTTATCACCTATTATTACTTAAAAAAACCACAATGGCACTGTTGCGTGGTGTTTTCCTGATATAACGTACACGTATTAGAGAAGGCCGATATACGCCACGCACATCTTCCTCCCTAATGGCCCTGGTGCACGATGCACAGGGCTTCTCCGCAGGACCGAAAGCAAGGGAAAGGCGCGGAGTGCACGGCCGGATCGAATCGAATCTCCGGCGGTAACCGCCACGTGGTATAAAGGTCCTGGTCTGTGTCAGGCCAGGTGGTAGTTTGCGCGGATCCAGTTACTACCCTATCCACTCTCCCTTCGTGGCCCTACACGCGACCACGCGACAGCTGTTGATCGTCGTTCCGGAGTAATGCGCGAGACTGTACCGATCGGTACACTCTCCTTTCTCATTTTCTCTCTCTCTCTCTCTCCCCCCTCTCCCTCTCTCTTTGTAACGGAGCACGAATATCGTCTAAACGAACGACCGGGAGTCAGCTCAGCACCGGTTTCTGACGGCCTGCCTTGCTCCACGCCTTCCTCGGGGTTCTCTCGCCGTCGGCATACAAGCTTGGAAACCCAGTGGAAGCCGATGTCGGCGCCAACGCGCGCGGCTCGCATCATCATCGGCCCCCGGCCGACACAAAGAGCCCATTCAAACGACGTACAACGATCCTCTCTAGGGACTGCCGGCCGGCAGGCGGACCAGGCCGCCTCGCCTGTCTGCTCGCCTGCACAACATCGGCCTTCAGCAGATGCCGACGCGGCACACTCGGCTTGGAATGCATTTTCACGGAACTCGTCGAGTCGCTTTTTCCTTCGGAACGCACCGCCGCTCGGCGAGAGTCGAGACGGCGAACAAGTAGCCTATTTAGGCGATTCAATGGCGTATTAGCGACGCGATAACGAGTCCACTTATCGCGTGATTTATTAATTTTTCGGCACACGTGAAATTTTCTCGAAATAAATTACTAATAAAGAGCAAATGTGGAGTGTAATTGTTATATATTACTCGAATTAATTCTTTAATTAGTGCGAAATAACGATGTCATAAATCACGCCAAATTACGCGGAGTTCGTAATTCTAGTTGAACAGTGCTTAATTCGAGGATAATCCGCGGCGCAACGTATTCATAAGTAGATTTACAGAAAGCGAAAGTAGAGAGGAAACGGGAGAATCGGATGAAAAAGGAGCATTTCAGACAAGCTAGATCTAATCGGCGTTTGTTCTCCGGCAACAGAAACTGAATAGAATTGCAGCTGCAGTTGTATTGCGCAAGTTTGCATAAAACGATACGATAATAGTTGGAAAAGTACCTCTCGTAACACATCACGTAACATTATCTTGCGCGATTTTGCGTAAAAACGAGGAAAGTTCCGATCGATCGACTTTAATTTAATTATTCGCTCGAAAGTTAAGCAAAGCATCGATCGAATTAAATGGAGGAAATATGGAAATGCACATTTCTGTTTTTCCTCTTAACGAGTGTAATCGACTCGATTTACTGTAGGCGATTTCCTACAGAGCCGTCTCGCGGTATCGTCTGGCAGACACGATTAGGCACTTTCCGTAGCAAACTGTACACATTCCTGCACCGGAAGAGACCGCGCCAGCTGGTGAACGAAGCAGCAGGTACGGTCGGGTCTTACTCGACGTCGGAAGTCGGCACACTTTCGTCGTATTTCAAAAACATTTTCATTCGTTTCACATTTAAGAATCTTTTCTTCAAAAGAAAAATGTCGCAGCACGATAGTTAATTTTTTCTCGCACAGTGTACGAAAAAATAGAAAATCGGGAATATTCGCGAGAAAATTTGCAAAGAAAATATTTGAGAGAAGGCCGACGAGAGAATTTGATGTTTATTAATTAAATAAAATAAATAAATGTAAATATGTTAAATTGTTAAATTTTTATACTCATAAATGAGATATATTATATCTGAATATTTACTAGGATCAGATATATATCTTGCTTTATAATTTATGTAAATACGAATGCATTTGCATTGCATCACGATGACTGTATCATTCAGCGCCCGCTGAAAACCGAGGGAGAACGGCCGGCGAAACGCGCCTCGGTAGAGCGATAAATCTATTTCGCATTCGTCATCTTTAAATAAAATGCATCTCGCGCTGGCGCGTATAGAAAGAAGTTTTGCACGTATCCCCAACGCGGTGAGAGAGCAGCTGTTCGCGCACACCTGGCAGAGATTTCGGAGCCCTTGGGACCGCGTGTTGGCTGCTCGAAATTCCTCCGGAACCCACCGCAAAATTCTACATGCCCCGGGCTTTCAACAGCAAGTTGCGAATATCGTGCGTAATATCCATCGCGCATCCATCCAATTATAACGTGAAATTCATTAATGTGCGTTATTAATAAATTTCCCGTCGTATTGTTTTCGCAGCTGTTCGCAGTAGCTCGATCAATAAAATTCGCATTAAGATCCGCGCTGTCGTGCGATATTATATTCCTCTATTGCATTCTTAATAAAGTCACTCGAAATTATGCAAGAAGAACGCGGTAATTTCTAGGGATGAAATTCATATTGCACGCCGACTTTTTCGGACATGTAATAATTTCGAGCGAGTTGCTCGCCCGTAAGATCGGTAATTCGTCCTGGCGTATGTAAAACGCGAGGAAGAAACCAGGAATTATTAACAAAGAGCATAAATAATACACCCTTCATCCGCGGTAATTGAGAATACTTCATAAACGCAAATCCGGATGATAGTTTCAGTCTGCTCGTACGGACTTAATCCATATCGAAGTGAATAATTCGCCGTAATTGGTGGCCAGGTATCAATGAGAAATCGGATTAACGTTAATTATGAGGATATAATTAACAAAGCCTGAACGTCCGCCTTGATCGCGGATGACTCGCGAGTATTCCCCCGGTGGCAAGATAGCAAACGGCATTACGAACGATACTTCTTGCTTATATCCTCTTGCCCACCCCTGCCTCCGAAGACCGCGCCACCAAATCGAGATCGTTGTCGACGACCCGCCCGCGGCGAAGAAACTTCCGAATAGTCGTCGTTCGCGTTAGAGGAACGAGGCGAAACCTCATTGTTCCAGGTATCGGTTCTCGAGGAGCGGCGCGGTCGAAAGGAGAAGAAATACGAGGAGACGCTAAATAAACGAGAAATCGGCGAAGCGAGGACCGTCGCGCGGAGAATCGGACAGAGAGACGGGAAAAAGAGACGAAAAGAAGAAAGAAGGAGGGAGAGAGGGAAGCCGGCGCGCCGCGCGGAGAGGCAAATAAAAGAAGCAAAAATCGAGCGAGGTGAAGGAATGCTCGACCTTGGCGTCTCGTTCGCGAGGACTATGGCACCTCTCCTCAATAAGAGGCCAGATGAAATCGCGAGAAGGACAGCGTGTTCGCTACAGCGAATCTTATCGGCAAACCGCCGCTTTTTCGCGCAATTTGCGATCGTTTACGATTGAACCGATATCTTTTTAGAGTCAACTTCGCTCGAGCACATTTTTCCTTCGCCGTTTTAAGAACATTCTGCAAAGCGACAATAAATCGCGTTATTTGGTGGCTTACTTAAAAAGTATTATAAATTTTATTAAGCTGCAGTTTTACATTTCATTAATTGCGAGCGACGGCTTTTTTTCATGCGCCGCGATACCTGCTGTCAGTTAATTAAAACTGTTGGCGCAAAACTGGGCTAAATTCCAGCAGGAGAAACAAACAATATGTTTACGCGCATGCGGCCGGCTGTTTTTCAAGCATTGTGTGATCCTTATAATCGCATATGGAAAAACCGGTATAATTTAGCCGCATGCGAATTTCAAAAATTAAAAACACGGAAGTTCGACTCGTATCGCACGCATGCAATAAAATTTGCGCGATTTAACGCTGCCGGTGCAAAAAATATCGTGTGTGCTACGCGCGCGTGGGAAGCAATCGCGAACGACAGGCGAAGTGTGACGAAATATAGAATGTAACGCGACGCATATATGCATGTATGCATGTATGCGATCGGTATGCGTGCACGTGTCGCTTTTAGCCGCCTGCACGCATCGCTCCGCGAACTAATCTTTTACAAGTGGACGCGGGGAAAACGCGTGGACTCATAAATCATTCGACATACGCGAAACGATATCGGGCGAAAACGCTACGCGCCTCTTCACCCAGTTCGCTCGTTAAAATGGCACATTTTGCAGACAGGATAAATGCGTCGCGTCAATGCTGCGCGAGAGAAAAAGGAGCGAAAGAAACCGTGGCCGAAAAACTGGCTTTCAACAGCGGCGTAGCGCGAGCCTGACTTTCTTCAAAGGATAACCAACCGCGATTCTCGCTTCTTCGCCTTTATATATCTACACTTGCTTCTGTTACAAATCAAAAACGGAGCCCGCAGTCAGCGCAGAAACGCTATTGTCGTTAGTGATTTCAAGAGCGCAATTCAGAAAGAAGTCAAAGTAAAAGGGAAAAGAACCGCGCGCGCCACTCAACATCGTTCGGATAAAAATGCGCATTTGCTGTGTGATTTTTGACGATAATAAAAATCTCGATCGTGGCGTTTCTCGTTATAATTTACGGTAAAGAGAAATATTGATTTGTAATTCTGCTATTATCATCGCAATGATATCTTTAATTATTACTTTACTATAATTAAACATGCATTTTTTTATAAATTGTTTAATAAATTTTTAACTGAAGCTAAAATTCGATTGCGTGTTTCGAAATGTAGAAGCGTAGAAGAGGCCGCGAAGAAACGTAGGGATTTCCCGGCAAACAGGAATGCAAAAACGCTCGGCAATTTTGCAGTAAGGAACGGCGTTCGTCACGTGATTGCATAATATCGATCGCGAAGCTGCTCCGAGTACAAGATTGTGGAACGCGGTGTGTGTGCAAGCTACCGAAGCCGCCGAGTAACTCGATGCTCGGGTAAAGGTACCTCCATCGAGTCACGTTTCCGAGTGGCATTACGCAAGAGACAATGTCGTCGCCATGACAGCTTTATGATCGATAAAACGGATTCGATCAAATAAGATTCCGGCTACGCTGTCCCGCCAGACTTTAACCACTGTTCGAATTTCAAACCCGATCCACACTCGAGAAATTTCCTCCTCCGGACATTTCACGATGAATTATCAACGCCAGTCAAGTAGAAGACAAGAGAGAGAGAAAGGGAGACAACTACGCGCTCCGTTGAATAACGATAAATCTCGCGATCTCCGTTAATAGATCACCATGCGTCACAGATATTTGTCTCATGGTTCGATGTAAAAAAAACCAATCCTACGCGTGCAATGGCGCAAGGTAAGCTGAATGAACGGTTAGCGCGACATATCATTATTTCTATAGGCACTGTATTATTATTTCTATAGTATATATGAGATAACCTTGCAGAAACTGAAATTATTTTTAGATTTCAGAATTCCGGAAGTTTGAAATGCAAACATATATTTTCGTGATTTCAGTATTTCTTCGACATTTCATTCAAGAGAGAGATTTACACGAGAGATAGTGAAATATATGACACATTACACGATGAGCATTATTGAAATAAGAATGAATACGGCCTACAAAAATCTGCATTTAGATATTATATTTTAAGAAAGATGTATTATAGAATTTAAAGATCGCACTTTTCGCATTATTAAAATCTGTCATATATATTATCAGTGAATAATAAAATAATTTTAGGTCAAACTTTCCACGTTATACCAACCGCTTATTAAGCAACTTCAATTAGGCAGGTGTCGTATGACTAAAATACAATTAGAGATTAACCACGCGATTGTGCAACGATAATGTTATATATAACATCGACATATAACATCGATAATGTTACGTGTAACATCGACACATAACAGCCGATTGAACGACAAAATCTCATGTCGATTGTAGTTTAACGCCCCTTTATACTGTGCCGTAATTTCGCGTATACGCACATTAGTTAAATGCATTACCGAGCTCTCGTTATATTCAGCATTATATCTATATTTAACATTTAGATACTTGCGTTCCATTTTACAGTTTTCACAAAAAGCATACAAAAACTCAACATTCATCCTGCGTTTTGATGTTTCTAATAAAATTAAGAATTTTTATATTTCTAGAATTGTATTTTAGCCACACGACATATGCCTAATTAGAGTTGTAATAAGCGGTTGGTATAACGTGAAAAGACCTATAATTATTTTATCACTCACTAATAACATATGACAGATTTTAATAATACGAAAAGTGCGAACTTTAAATTCTTTAAATATAAGTACGACGAATTCAGAATAAAGATTACAAATAAGCAACCAAAATTCTGCGTTGGCTCCTGATCCTCCTTTTATCTAATTTTTTTTTAATTTTGGAAGCCGAGTTTGACTATTTTATAAAATTTTTATATTTCTATTTATATTTGTTTTGTCCGGATTGAAAAATAACCGTTGATTTCAATCTGCGCAGAGATTTTGCACGGAATAAAAATGAGAAAGTAATCAGCAGAGGAAATGTAAAAGTAAAATTCCGGGAAGCGGAAAGGATGCGGTAAAGGAAGTCGCAACAGAAGAAGCCCGACAATGTTGCGCGTCGACCAAGGTCTATGTCATTGGAAACCCAGATCGATTTTCCTTGTTTTTCTGCGTCCATTTTTTTTGTTCAGTGAATTCTATGTCGAGAATGGGATGATATCGCGTTTCGAACGACTCTCCGAACGACGCACGCGTTGAGCAAAAGTCAACGAGACTAGACAGGCCTTTTGTGCGCGGTGAAACGAGAACGCGAAATCTCGTTCAATTTTGAGAATACACACGTATACACATATAAATCGCCGTGAAACTCGATCAACAATGAAACGCAAGACGAGTCTATTTTGTGACATTGTGTAAATTGTCGGTATCACGCTGCATTCAATGTATCACTCGTTTCATTCAAAACTATCCGTATGTAAAAAAGATATTACATTATTCGCGTGTAAAAGAGCGTGAGTTTAATCTTTAATTTAAAAATGTAATATCATAAAGATTAAAATCATCATGCTCGCTTCGCTTGAAAATTACATATACATAAAATTACGATGTGTAAAACATACTATTTTTCAGACCTAAACATCTCTTACGGTAAACATAAACCCCTGTAAAAATGTGACCCTCGTTTTGACGTTACCGTTATAAAGCTAACGTGAAAAAAAAACAATGGGAGAAAAGTTGCCGACTTGATTTAATGCATTGTTTAGAATATATAGAAGACACACAGAAAAGATAAATGGGAAAGATCATTCCAGAACGTACCTTATCCATTTTGAAATTTACATGAAGATTTATCTTAAAATATAGAAGTCATTTATAAAAACTGCACGGGTTAGTAACCTGCTGATCTTTTGAATCTTTCGAACAATGGAATTTTTAAGAAAATTTGTATTACAAAAGATTAAGAGAAATATACGTATGACGAAGAATACCTTGCTCCAAAAATTTCCACAACTGAAAAAATTGTTTTGAAATGATCTTTATACAGCGTTGGGTTTCACAGACCGAAATGTGCTTCTCGGTAAAAGGATGATGAACATAATATCCTAACATAATATTGACAGAACACTTGCGAATCCATATCGCACAATCTCCAAGATCATCGTCAAAATTCTTCATGCATCGCTCGTTCCGCGTCTTGTTTTGACGTCGCCATGACGACCCGATCTCGCGGCGGACGTGCGATAGAGAAAGAAGGACGAAAGAGTTACCGACCTAACTTAACGTGATCGTGACAGCTCGTCGTCTCGTGCTCTCTCCCCGGCTGGCGGCGCGATATCGCGTTGCCAAGACGACGAAGGAAGCTTTCAGTGAAAAGAAACGAACGTAAAAGAGAGAGCAATCGCTGCCGTCCGGCCAAGAGTCGTGCCTTTTCTCTCCTTTCTTTTTTTTTCATCCTTTTTCGCACGGAGATCAGTATGACGACTGACAATTTGATCCCTGTCTCTCTTCGAATCAATTCAATTGCGATTCGTCTGAGAAGCGCGACTCGGCGATGAAGCATCGTCGAGAAAATAAGCCGCCGGAACGCATGTACTCGCATAAGATAAATGGCGGAAAGCTATTGTGTGCCAAAAAAGAAAAAAAAAATAGGCGAACAATGACGAAAGGCAGACAAAAAGAAAGCAAGCAGGGAGGTCTAACTTTATACCTAATGTCGTAAATATGCTTCCATCACTAAATGAGCATTTCTCAACGGAACTCATTTTACATGATATATTGATAAATTATTACGCGCTGTGAAGAAATACGTACTAACGGAATAGTTAAGTGAGCGATAATTGAAAGCTGACATTTGAGTTGCGTCAATTTCAGTCTCTCACAGCTGGCATTTGATGTGTCAAGAAAAAGGTTATAAGGAACGAGCCGATTAAATCGGTAAAAATATTGACGCTGCACTGTTTTTTATTTTATTTTACAACATAAATTTACCTGAGAACAAATCTCAATCGACGATTAGAAAGCTCCTTGAATGCTCATTTAATGAAGGAACACATTTGCGCCATGTGACGTACCTTTCGAAGGAAATCAGATTCAATACGTCGAACGAATATACACACTCACAACGCGGCAACGATCGCAGGCTGCTCCGTGAGCGCGACAGTGAACAAAAACAAACTGAGAAAAAGGTCGAAAAAGAAAACGTGCGGTAGGCAGCGCGTTCTGCCGTAAAGATTTATGCAGCAACTCTCGCTCGAATGTTTCTCACGAAAACGTCGTCATGAGATTCGTCGACTTTGACCATTCCTGTCACCTGATTCACCACGCTTGCCGGGTCAGCCGAGCGGGGAGTGGTCCATTGTTTCCGGACGAAACAGAAAAGCGCCGGCGGGATGCGAATGTTTCCACGAAAAGAAAAAAAAATTGTTCTCGAAAATATTCAAGCGCGAAATAATGTTGTGAAGCGCGATTACGCGTTTGCCTGGGTTCGACCGATGGAAAAAATTGTCACTGCCAGCGCACTCCGGAGCCGCTCTCGATCGAAAGGATTGTCAATAACGGTTGAGAAAGCGTCCCGGGGATGCCTGAACACGTTTTGCTGATGAAGCTTGACCGTTGTTTCGCGCAAATAAAAACACGTTGTCGGCATACGGCTATTTCTGCATGCGACAGAAGCATCGTTCCCAAAAACATCCGCGAATATCGGTGAGCGTGTTCGTGAACTGACGGGAAAAATCCCGAAATCACATGGCGGAATCGCTTGTGCAGGACACCCCGGGATAAAGAACAAAGAGAGCATCTTACCCCACTGCCGGGAAGGTCGCGTAAGGAAACATCCTTGTCGTTCACCTCCAGGATCCCGATGTCACACCTATATCGCCGGCTCCCGTGTCTCGCTCTTTCTTTTCTCTCTTTCTCTCTCTCTCTCTCTCCTTCTATCACCCTCCCACCCTCGCTGTCGTCTCGGGAGAGGGCGATCGGCCGGAGAACAGGCACAGGCACACAAGTTCAAGGTCGCGGTACAGGGGTAAGTGGGTGGACGAGCGTCGTCTGGAAAACGGCGAGGAAACACCGGCCCGCCGATCACGCCGTTAATATTCACGGCGGAGACGACGCGCGCGGAACAAAGGACCGCCGCTCGTACGCGAACGCGCAGTACAATACACAAAGGGATGAACACCGTACCGCGGCCGGCTTCACGGCCGCCCGGCGTCTCGTATTCCGGCGATTTTTAGGTTAGCGACCAACGCGCACACGACCGGCCGGACGACGGGAACGAACGGCGGCGTCGATGCGCGGTCTTGTGTCTCTTCGCGACGGGCTTCGCGCACTCCGTAACACGACGGTGTGGCAGCTGTACGCGCGCTCCAGACTGTCTTTCTCCGTACGCCGCGCCGATGGTGGGGCGCCAACTGAGAACGACGGAGAGGGGAACAGGGAAACCCGACGGTCGAAGGGTCTTGCGGGGAGGGATAGATGTTAGGTTGGGACGAGGGAGACAACCAGCGCGCCCTTATACAAGCGCGGCAATCGTGCGTACTACGTCGCGAATGCTCACGTGTGTCTGTATGTGAATACGTGTGTTCTGATGCACGCTCGTGCGTTTGTAGCCGTTGCATGCGCCGTGTGTGTATGCACACCGCATCATGCAGACGGAATAGAATGTGTGCCGATATATACCCGCCGGTTCGCAGTTTCGCTGCTCTGCCCTTCGCTCCGTTAAAAGACTGGCGCATGGCGTGCCGTACGCGCGCGCGGGCGCCCAAGGAGCTCTCACAGTGGTGCTCAGTTGCCCGATTCGTGGACTCGTGACAATGGCAATTGTGAAATATCGTTGTGAAAAGATGTTTAAAAGCGGCAGAAGGAACCTCGGTTCGGCTCCTCATAAAATGAGGATGCACTTATGCCAAAAAAAGAACTTGGAAATTTTCACTTGTTGAGTTCACTAGATTTACGAGTAGAAAGTAGTAATAAAAAAATTATTTGTGGTTTTTTCAATATCATTTGAATTTAATAAACTGCCTAATAAATCACCTTGCTTGCACTGCCATCAATTTTCTCTTTGTGAAGTGTATGTAAAAATGTAAAACGTCGCGACATCCCAGCTTGCAAATATCGAAAGCTTTCAGATATATTTCTCAATATTTCCTAATTAATAGCGAGATCCAATTAACTGGCGCGACCGCACCTGTCCTCTCTCCCTTTCCGCCCGATTATGTAGTAGAAAATTGATAGTAGATAAAATCTCCAATGCCGCACCCTAGAGCGTAATCAATTTTACAATATCGAATGTTTAATTAGGACGAGCAAATGTACGGATCACTCTGAAGTTGTACGAAACTATTTTTTTCAATTGTTAACGATTTAATTCTTTCACGGCTGACAGTTATTCGCGTGCGTCGGTTGTACATACAACTCTGAGCGGTTCTTCTGAAAAAAATATAAGACGATTTATAATACGATATATTGTCTTGGGGCCGCGCTCGACAATTTCCACGACAAACAACAGGAGAAAATTACCGCCACAGTATTGTTGCGAATCCGGATAACTGCGTGCGAACACAAAGGGACGTGGGCTCGTAACCAGTATGGAAACAACGTAAAGCGAAAGGGTACTGTAGTCCAACGCCATTGATTATGCAATCACGATTACACATGTCGCGCAATAAATATAAGAAAATACGTGTTCTCCGCGTAAAATATTGATCACGTTGTTAAGCCGAAAAGATTACTCGATTCGCACCTCTTCTTTTTTTATTTCTCGAGAAATGAATAATCTAAAGATCACTGTCGCTATTGCTGTCAATTAACTTGGCTACAAAGCTAAGTTAAAAGTGTATTTGCAGCATAAACTTTGAATTACGACACTCGGGAGGTAAACTGTCAACTAGCAAAGTATCTCCAACCCCGTTCAACAATCCTCGACTAATCCTTGGTTAAATAATGACTCAATCTTCGTCCTCTTAACTCGGCTAAACAATTTTAAGAACTTGTAAACACTTGCCGCCGCATTTCAGGAGATAAGAACAGTTCTCCGTGCGCGATCCCCGGGCGCGTTTTACGCGAGAATGCGACTACGCTCGTAGAGCGATTTTGCATAATTGAGAGCGGAAAGACATAAACCGAGGGATGATAGCGTGCGGTACGGAACGTGTGCAGGATGCGGGATGCGAAGTACACGTAACAACAATGGGCTTTATACGCTCAGCCCGCCCGCTCGCCGTTGTTGCAGGACGGGCGTTTATATCGGTTTGAGTGCCTCTGTTTTTCCATACACCCACGTAACCGGTCTCGCGCGCTCTCGCTCTCGGCCACGGCTGTCTCTCTTCGCGGCAGCAAACTCACGCGTGGCACGAAATCGTACGAATGTAACATACGAGAGAGACGTTGCTACAACACGGGGGGCAGGTCAGGATTCAGCGCTTGTTGGCCTGTCTCCAAATCGTTGCGCCGGTCAGATTCTGGATATGCGCGCGCGCGCGCGCGCAAGCTGCTAAGAGACCGGAAGTAAATGAGCCGTCCTTGCTGAACGGATGCGCACAGTCAACGCCAGGATAGTTGAAACGCTTTTTCTTTCGCAACTCTCTTATGGATTTTTATCGCGCGCGCTATCGATTCTTTTAAAAAATGTAAAGTATGTAAAGTGATGCGAATGTAACACAAAGTTATGCAATTTTATTGAATACCTTTTCGATGTTGCTGATTATTTCTCTAGTGTGTTGCATTTATATTTCACATTATATTTAATTTATTGCGAAGATCGTATACATTGAATATTAGTATTATTAATGACTGTATAAATAATTTTAATTGCTTGATATTGATTTAATCTTTTAACGCGGCGGAACTATAACATACGTTATCAACCTGTTTATCTTTCCTTTCCCGCAATCATATTATTGTGCATTTTATATCAATCCGTAGAGTGTTATTCTTGTAAACAGAATCAAATTAGAAGGTGAAGTAATAATCAAATTGCACAAATTAAAAATTTAAATTTATAGTTATAACGATAAGATTTAGAATCTACGAAGTACGTTTGTATAATAAAATAAGTTGAAAAATTAAACGAACTGTAAAAATTAATAATAAATGTGATCGATAAATACAGACACATATATATATAGCAATGAGCCCGAGCGCGCAAAATCTATATTCTCTTCATTTCAATATCTAACTTTAATCGTTTCTAACTCTACACTAAAACTAAAATTGGTTTTGAAATCATATAGAATCTTTAATTTTAATTATCAAATACGCTGTCAAAATGATTTATTTAACATTTTACGTAACAAAGTGCATTTATGAAAGATAGCAGTAATTTATAAGCTCCTCAATAATACTCTAATTTTAAGCATTTAATATTTTCGTATGTTTAAAATTAAATTCCAATTCAAGTCCAAAATAAATGTTATTGAAATTAATTAACACATTTCAAATTTAACACAATATTACGATTATATTTACGGACGACAGTAGTAATTTTGAAGATTTATAATAGTATATATGTTATATTTTTTTTCTAAAAAAGAAATTAAAATATGGGGCACTATATTCTTGGATTAAATAGAAATTGCTCAACTATTCGAGCATCCTTTATATAAATGTAAAGTAGTTGCGTAAAGATAATTATTTCTCGAGGTACTGTTTCTTGCAAAATAACATTTTGTCAGCGCTATTACGACGACGGACACGCTGGAATGTCTCTCACAATATATAGCAAGAAAATTCACTTCGTAATATTCTAACACAATAATCGTCTCTTCAGACGTATCAAAAATGGAGGAAAAAAAAACTTGCAGAAGAACAATAGCAATTTACAAATACGTGTCGCGGAGCGTATTATACCTCGCAGATAGTCGCTTATATCCGCGAATCTTCGAATACGATTACAGCGTCAAAAGTTTGACCTCTTGTAATGCCGCATCTACAACTGTACGCGCTTCACGGAGAAGATTTTCTCAGATAAGAGGCTGTGTGTGCAGTAAGCGAAGATTTCGCGGATGGTATCGCGCGATATAACAGACACGCGAATATACGCGCGAGACTATGCGTGCAAACGATTTCCGCGCGGATCGTCGAAGACAAAGAGCAGGAAATGCCTGCTCTCCTGCAGCCCTTCGTAGCCCTGTAACGCGACTCCACTCGAGATGAGGCAGACACCTGGGAGGGGTTTACCTCCGCACTCGTAGCGCTTCCACTATTCGTTTGGGGAGTTGTAACGCGGGGAGGACCGCCCCGCTTCCGTGAAGACGCTCCGCTTCCCGTTGCGAGTTCCGAGCTCTGAGCTCCGAACCGGGACGGCAGAATCGCGCAATTTTATTACGTAAATTCAATTTGCATAGTGCGACCGGCAGACAGAGCGCGGCAGCTCCACGGCGGCTCGTCGCGACGCTCGTCGTCGCTATATAACCGCGTTTCTTTCCTCTGGGAGATAACAGCGCGTCGAGCTAACGAACTATATTTAAATCGATTTTACTACAAACGAGGTAGGAAAGAGAGGATGTACTATTAGAGAAGCATTGGGTTACTAGCCGTGCAACGGCAGTCGAAAAACGTACCAAGAGAACCCGATCCGACGCTTAGAAAAAAAAATCCTTATCGATTCACATGTTCCGCCCATTCTCTTGTTCCCGAAGTGAAAATATTTTGGTCATATTTGTTCATCTTAATCACGGCGCTCTGATGTTGCGTACGCGAAATTAACGTTGGCTTAAATTAATATTCCACAGCGCGCTCGTATATTCGTCGCTTTCCAGGCACGAGTAACGCGTAGGTAGGTATGTATATTTGGCAAGGATTGTGTTGTATTGTACGTACTCGCTCGGCGAAAACTCCATCGAGGTCGTTTCTGGTTTGATAAATACCACAACCCACGACAATTATCAAAGATACAACAAAACTGATATACGACAAATTGGAACTAAATTAACTCGCAGTGAACACGCGCTGTTGATACTTTAAGTTGACTTTTATTCGGCCAACTACGCCTGTATCTATTAAATAAAAAATACATGAAATTTGTGATTCGAATCATTGTTCAGTAATAAAAGCAGAAAAAATTATCATGCGAATTAGTAACATTTTGTTCCGCTTCGTACGTGCAATTAATTCATAAAACAGACTACGTAACAATTGGAATTGCGAATACAGATGGAATAATCACAGCCGTTTTATTATGCCGCGTTGGAAAAGTAAAAAAAATTGGCGAAAATTCTATGCGTGCTCGCGAGCAAGCTCGATGGCGAGGATTTAGCTGTCGAGTCGTTTAAATATCGCGGAAATTGAACCTATAAATTTCTGAATGCCATAAATTGGTCGACTTACCGCCCGTAAACGGGCGGCCTTCTCTTTCATCTTCCGTCTACCTCCACGTTTCCCACCTTTGAGAACAGGTTGCAAGATGCCGAGATACCGAGGC